CACAGACTTCCCCAGACAGGGCGTCTCAGTTAGGGGTACAGGACTTGGAGAGCTGGGACACCTGCTTCCTTCCCAGCTTTCCAGTGGAGGCAAAATCCCAGCCTTTAAAATGATGATGGAACTTTACAAAGCACATGAAATCAGTGAAGTCAAGTGTAAAACCCCACTTTTTTTTTAAGTAAAAGAATCACAACATTTTCTGAAAGATGGAATGCAAAACCTCATTATCACCATGACTAAGAAGGCAGAGGAACCATTCCCCCGACCGTTTCAGTCACACTTGCCTGTCCTGCTTTAGTTGGCTATTTTGTGTCATGGGAGGAACCCAGCGGAGGGATTAAATTATGGGGGCGGGTCTTTCCTGTGCTGTTCTCATGATAGTGAATGAGTCTCACGAGATCTGATGGTTTTAAAAAAACGGGAGTTGCCCTGCACAAGCTCTCTTTGCCTGTCACCATCTACGAAGATGTGACTTGTTCCTCCTTGCCTTTCACCATGATTGTGAGGCCTCCCCAGCCATGAGGAACTGGAGGTCCATCAAACCTCTTTCTTTTGTGAATTACCCAGTCTTGGGTATGTCTTTATCAGCAGTGTGAAAACAAACTAATACACTGTTATCAACTGAACCTTCATGTCAGTCATCTGCTAAGCACTTGACAATGCGTTATCTCATTTCATGCTACTCACTTTGGAGGCAACAACTTTATGAGGCATGCACTACTGCTATTAGCATTGCATGCAGGAGGCAGCTGAGGCTTGGGGAGGTTATACAACTTGATCAAGGTCACACAGCTAGTAAGTGGCAGAGCCAGTACTGGAATCCTGGATGATTCAAAGCACAGGCTCCTGAGTACTAGGCTACATTGGCATGGATTCCAGTACTCATTTTGCTAAAAAGTAAAATACAATGTTTTTGATGGCTTATCATGGCCAGGACACTTAATAGCTTTGTGTTCTTGGGAAGATTATGTGACCTCTCTGATTCTTTGTTACCTAGGTATTTTGCCTGGTTAGGTTGAGGGTTAGGTATGAATGCAGGTAGAGTCTACTGCAATGCTTGATCCGTGGTGAGTATTCAGTAACCAGTGGTTGCTCCTTGGGAGATATACCTGTGGTCGGCTTGAGTCTTCCACCTTTGATTTGGATTTGGTTGAATTGCCTTGGTTGAAGAGGTCTAAAGCTCCTAGCCTCTTTCAGCCTCTCAGCAGAGTGGTGTGAGTCTTTGGCTCTGACCAGTATGAATGAGGCTGTCATCACTATCAGACATACGTGCTGGACATTGCTCAGGAGATTATGAAGTACAGAGAAAAAAAAAATGTCCAGAATCACATTATTTAATTGCTGGAGTTACTTAATTAGGCAGGTGATATCAGGGTTAATGAATCATTAACACCTCAAAAGAGCAATTAGCTCATTGTTTCTGTAATTTTATGCAATCAAGCAGAAAGCTGCTTCTTAGGGCATCTGTATTTTAAAGGGATTTTGCAGAGGATAGTTTCTGTTGTTTTGTTTTCAAACGAGGTCTGTAAATTCATGCTTGCTGTTGATACTCATGGCGTTGGTTTTTTATGTGAGTGTGCAGGTGTGTTTGATTTTATATATAGTATGATAACAGGGTGAAGTGGATGTAGTTGTGCATTTCCACGTTCTTCCATGGCTACTTTTCCTGGAATCCTTTCCAGAGCAGCAGAGCTTCCTCCCTTGTCATGGTAGCATGCATTCATTCATTGTTCATTTGTAGTCATGAAATAGTTATGAATTCCTGTTAGGGGTCACTCATCACTCAGGCACTGGTGGTACTTGGTTGAACATGACAGCAGGGTCCCTGCTCTTGGAGGCTTCCATTCTACAAAAGGACGATGGAAGCAAATAAGCGAACAAGAAAGGACAGGCAGGACGAAGTGCCCGGATGGAGGCGGGGGGAGCCTCTCTGAGGAGCTGACATCAAAGTGGCTTCTTAACATAAGAGGGGCAAACCAGGCAAAGATCGATGAGGACATTCCAGGCTCAGGTCCTGTGTGGGAACAGTGTGTCCGGAGCTGCAAGAACGCAAGCATGTCCGGGGTGCGGGGAGGCCAGGAGGGGTGCAGAGGCAGGGTAGAGAGGCAGCCAGTGCCAGCTGCCTGAGGTCAGCATGGGGGCAGGTAGGGCAAGGGCGGGCCTCACTGAGGGGCATTCCACCGCCTTCTGATGTGTGCTTACAAAGGCTGCTTTGCTTGCCACGAGGGAAGGATCCTCATGGTGTGGGGGGAGAGATGGTGGAGGTGGTGAGAAACGAAGGGTCAGAGGTGTGGCTTTGAAGTCGAGCTGACGGTTGCATGGATGGCATAAAGGATGAGAAGACCCAAGAATGCCACCAGAGTTTATAGTTGAACAAATGGGGCTGGAGTTGCTCCATTTTCTGAGGTGGGGAAGCCTGGGTTGATCCATTGGCTACAGATAAAATCAGAAATTCTATTTGGGTCATATCAACATGGAGGTGCCTGAACAGTCCTCCTCCCTCCTTCTCTGTCTCTGTCTGTGTTTCTGTGTGTGTGTGTGTGTGTCCACGCAGGGGGGTACTCTCATATTTATTGGACTGAATATTTATTACTGTTATAGTTATTGCATTGTGCCTTTTGTGAAATGTTATCTCATTGTCATCTCAATGTTAATTCTCATAAGAACTCTGTAAGTGATGATCCCCATTCGAAAACGTAATCAGCTTCGGCTCAGAGACGCGTAGTTGCCTCTCCAGACCACGTAGATAGTAAGAGCTGGGATGTGAATCCAGGTTTGACCATTTTCAAAGCCTGGGGTCTTCCTGTCTGCCAGGCTGCCGCTTGGGCAGCTCTCTGTTCTGATGGAAGGCATTGTAGGGTCTCAGGGAGGTGCCAGAATGGCCTCTCAGTGGCAGCTGTGGCTGTTTTGGTTCCTCTCACCCTTCTCCCAAGCCCCGGATGAGACACACCTCCCTGGTCTCCTTCAGGGACAGGAGACCCAGAGTAACTCCTATCCCCCCTCCTCTTTCAAAGCACAGTTCTCACTATGATGAGGTATGCAGCTCATTCTCTCTCTACTGTGCATCTGGGGTGCGTGGCTTGGGTGCTCTTCTTGGCCAAGGCTTTTATAAGTGACATTATTCAACTTGGGGTGATGTAGTCCAGCTCCTGTCACATTATAGGTTAAGTCGTTCGTCTCATGGTCTTGTGTGTGAGCTGTGGAACCCAGCGGGGTCTGGGTGTTGAGGAGACAGAGGAGCAGGGCCTCAGGAGGACCCTCCCTGCTAGGCCAGGCAGGAAAAGTTATTACCACTGTGTCTGATTCGGGGAGCAGAGCTCCCCAGCTGGTGATCTGGCATTAGAATGGGCAAGTGGGCAGGCAGCAGGACCCCAGCAGAGGTGAGGTTTAAGAGCTGGGTCTCAAGGCAGAGCTGGGAACTGAGGGAAGGACACATTTGTCCCACCTGAACTCCTCATCGGCATGGACTCCTGGACGCCGAGCTGCTGGAACCTCTTCTGTGCGAAGTTGGGTCTGGTTGGGAGGGGAGAGGGGGCTGCAGCTTAGCGAGGAAGGCGTGGATTAGCAGCCTTAGACATGGAAGGAGGCCCTGTTGACAAGTTCAGGCCCCCTGACCTTCTGGGGGATGGGGCGTAGGCAGGGCCTGTGCCACCATGTGTCTGTGCTGGGAGCTTCCTGGGTGGGTGTAGAGTAGGCAGTAGGAAGGACCCCGAATGAATTTGGCTTAGTGCCAGGAGGCATGATCGATTCTGCTGCAGCTGAGAGGTGGTTTCCCAGTGCTGGGCCTTGGACGGGCAGTGAAGGGGGGCCCTGGAGGTGGAGAGGCTGTGGGGGCTGGAGCAGAGGCCCTCACTGTGCAGCAGAGGCCCTGGGAAGCACATGGACTGGCTGGGGGCCAGGGTGGCCAAAGGAGCATAACATGGAGCGTGTGGGGTGCACAGTGACGAGGCTGTTGGCTGGGTCAGACTGTGCCCAGTGGTGTTGTGGGGAAGTTGTTGGTGTCTGTGGGAGGTGACAGAGTGGGACCCTGGTGAGGAGCCCTTGAGTGAATGTCACCAGCATCCAGGTGAGAGCCGGGGGCTGTGAGCCAGGCAGTGGGGCTGCAGTGGACAGGCAAGCAGAGGAAGGGGATCCAGCGGTGGGAGGTGTGAAGGGACCCAAGCTTCCAATCCTGGTGGGCAGGGGATGTGGACACGGGATGTGGACAGGGGAGCAGCTCTTCAGAGGAAGGCCAGACCTGAGGTGCTGGGTGTCTCGGTGAGCCTCAGCCTTGTGAGTGGGTCAGGATCTTGGCACTCGGCATGGGGGAGGGGCTAACATCCCTTCCCAGTAAGAGCCTCCCCATTTGCTTTTCTGCATACTCTTAAACAGGACGGCTGTGAGGACGACAGGCTCTGTTTACCTGGGACACGTCTCAGAAGTTCTTTTCGCCATTTTTGTCTCATCCGCGGTGGACCTGAGACTGAGGCTGTGGCCATGTGTGGCGGTTGGCCGGCCTGTCCGGCTGCATTCACAGCAACCAGGAGAGAAGGCGGAGGGGCTCTCCTGCTGGCCAGGACATTCTGGTTGGAGTCTTGTGATGGAACCAGAAGCGACATGTCCATTCTTGGGGCCCCATAACCTGGCCAGCAAACCTCTTGGGCATAGTAGGTCATCGATGCATGCTTCTTGGGCACCATGGGGAGCCTCCCTAGCATGGATGCCCGGCCTTTGGTGGTACCTTTGCCAGTAGGCTCAGCCCCCGCACCCGGCACCTCCCCCAGGTGCAGTGCAGAGCCCTCAGCCCCGGATCACGTCACGCCGCCCTTGCTGGGTCTTCTCCTTCCCAGCACCTGACCTGCCTTTCTCTGCACCCCTCCTGGACCCGCCCCTGCCTGTTCTAGTGACAAAGGAATTTCCCCCTTTGCTTATGTTTTGGGGCAGTGCTGTGCCGGCTGTTGAATTTAGCAAGTGTTGGCTAATTTGAACTGAATTTTCAGGCTTATTTTTTCCTTTTTCAGATCAAACCAGTGGTGCATTGTGATATAAATGTGCCTTCCAAGTGGCAAACATATCATCGTATATCCCGACATATAAAGTGAGTACAGTATTATTTTTGAAAAAATCAAGCTGTGCCACAGCTGCCTAAAAACAAGACTTTCTATCCCAACAGACACCTCTTAGCGTTTTTGCTGCCCACCACCCTCCTCACCCTGCTCTCTCCTGCTCTCACGCCCCAACAGCTGATTTCTTTTTCCTAGATCACCTTCTCTCTCCTTCAGCTGTTCAGGTGCTACCTTTTCTTTCTCCTTTTGAGCCCTGATTTTGGAAAAGAAAAGCAATCTGATGCCGTTGTCTGCAGAACGGTTCACCTGGGGATGCGAAGAGCAGAGCTTCAAACGCACAGCTTAGTTTTAAGCTCTTAAATTTTATTTTGATTTTTTAAATGTAGCAGTTGCAGCTGCAGCATGTTGAAGGGAAACTTAAAAGCTGTTTCCTCGCCCCATGACCTCTTGCTACCAAAGGCCCTTGCAGGCTACAGCACATCCGAGCCAGGTGCTGCTGCAGGAGCGGAATGCATTAGAGCCTCGCTGGCCACTGCCCTGGGATGCCCCTGGCAGTGCCAGGCACCGAGGCGCTCAGTGGAAGGCAATGGGACTAGTTGTGAGCTGTGTGTGTGTCAGTCTGCATTATGTTTTTGGGGTTGGGAAAAGACAGTGCACTTGACTCAAACTCAACGTCGGTTCACATCCGGCTTTTGTTCTTATCAGCTTGGGACCTGCACCTGCTGCTTCACTCTGGGGCTGTCTCCCGCTGTGGAAAGCAGGGCTGGGGATATCAGTGCTTGACACTCTGGTAGGGGTATATTCGGGAATGTTTGCAGCTAGCCCCACCGTGCTTGTCACAGCGTAGAAGTTCTTTGATAGACAGCTCTTCCCTGTGTCCTCTTATTGGGATGTTTTGGTATTTTAGTGATTAAAAGCCCATCTTTCCATTTTACCACGTGCTGGTCCAAACGGAAGGAATTTTAGTGAGTTTCCAGAGAATCCTGAGCTGTTCATGTGGGGGCATCAGCAGTGGTGTCTCATCCCAGCCCTGTGTGAGCTGGAGTCACCACTACCGTGTGTCCTCTCAGTCCCGGGAGGCAAGGGCTTGGAGGCTCATGAGGCTGGAAACTCCCTGATTCACCCGACAGATCCCTAGGCTGGGAAGGAGAAAGATGAAGGAAAGGTGGCGACCGTGAGTTTGCCAGAATTGGCTCCTTGCACTTTTCCTTAGAATCTCAACGGCCATTTCTTTAAAATGCCTATCTTTAAGCTTCTGCGAGGGGGCCACCTAAATACACAATGTCTTTCCATGCCATCTTTTATGTATCTGAGAGCTGTTTTGAGATAATAAATGACACAGTATTTCTAAGTTTTGTTAATGATTTATTTCCTGCACAACGTATAGCAACTCAGGGAACATCGTGGCTTTGTGAGTCCTTCTTGCCAAAGACACCATCGCTAAAGCCACATTTTGTGGGTGTGACCCAGGCCATCAGTGAGCCTCACTCACTTGACAGACATGATTATCCTTTTCAATTAGAAGCCATCCACTCGTGCAGCACCGGGCATGCTTTGTCTCGGTGTGTTGGAAGTTCCACTAGATGGACCCAAATATCCATCTGAGTGCAGGGTCCTTCCTACCACGAAAAATTCTGGTCATGTTCCTTGGAGTCCTTGTAACTATAAAAACACATAAACAACAGTTATGATGGCTTTCAGAGGCGTAGATGCTCAGGAGAGAGAGGCGGGCCATGACCCTTCCTGGCTCAGGAGGGTCGGCGAGGGGTGAGTGGCTTGTTGAGCTGCGTTCTGCGGCAGCTGGACGCTGGAGGCAGAACCTGGGGCTCCCGCGACGGGGTCACCTGGGGCTTGAGCTGGTGGCGAGTGCATGGGTTGGAAGTCGCTGATCTGGAGGTCGAGGCTCAGTTGGAAGCTTGGGTTCTGGCCCTGACTAGGAGTTCTGGAAGTTAGGATTCTGTCCTCCGCCAGAGACTGGGAGACAGCTCCCGTGCTGCCTGAGGCTTGCAGTTCAAGGGAGGGGTCTTAGGTGTGGGAAACACGTCTCATTGCAAGAGACACATATTTGTCAATGCTCTAAGAAAGAGCCGTCAGGGGCCTATGTCAGGTGTTGGCTGGGACGAACAGTATGTGTTCCTGGCAGCCCTGGGTTTTTCAGGTGGGAGTTTAGTGGTCGGGCTGGAGTCATCGTGTGCCCGTGGCCTGCTGCTGCTGGACACGGGCTAGAATTGGTTGTCTTGGGGCAGAGTTGGGGCAGAGTTGTCATAGGCCAGAGTTCTGCAACACTTAGCCCCTCTTCTTGTTCGTGAGGGAGAGCAGGTGTATTTCTTGTAAAACAACCACCGCCTGTCATAAGGGGACTTGAGGAGGAGGATCCAGCTGTTGCTTCCAACTGCTGTGTGTTCAGGAGGAGCTGAGAGATGCCCACGAAAGGGTGGTATGCATCGGGAGATGAAGGCATGACCGCTGGGATGGATACAAAGGAGCCAGAGGCCATGCGCGGTGGCTCATGCCTGTAATCCTGGCACTTTGGAGACCTAGGCAGAAGGATCACTGGAGCCTAGGAGTTTGAGACAATCCTGGGCAACATAGTGAGACCCTGTCTCTAAAAAAAAAAATAAGAAACTGAGTCTCTCAAGGAGCTCTGTCAACCATCCAGTAAGTGGAGGAGATTATTTAAAGGACAGTCAAGTCAGTCTTTCTGGAGGGTGTAAGCTGTGGCAGCCGTGTCTTGGGTGTGAGCCGTTGCTGTGAGTGTCTCTTGACAAATTTCCTCTCGAGTGTCATCTACAAACAGGTGGTACTGAGGACTGACTCTGCACAAACACCTCCCTGGTTTCCAGCCAGTAGTCTGAGGCTAGTCTGTTTTGTGAAGTCATTTACAAAGTGCTGACACTTCTGGGGTTAATGATGCCGCAGCTTGTCCTAAGTTGGAGACAGAATCTTCCAGCTCTGGGGCTGGCTTTTCTGATCCCATTTGTAACCTTGTAGTGTATCTGTCGTCACAGGCGAGGGTGCTGTGGGAGGAACAGAGCACCCTACTAGGCGGGCTCTGGGCAGCAGGTCACACTTAAGGTGGCTCCCTGTCCACCACCGCTTGGTCCACAAGTCTCGGGACCAGCAGCTGCAGCAGCACTCGTGTTTCTGAGTCTCCTTTGCGAAGTTTGTCACATTTAGCCATTTCAAGGTCGGCATAGGCCACATGACGGGACCCAGTCCACTGGCTGGTTGCACTTTCTAAGTTTTATGACCACATCATACACAATAATGACCCTTATGAGCATAAGGTTATTGGTTATTGCCTGTACTGGCTGTGACAGGCTTTTAGGGCTAACCGGGAGTAGTCCCCAGGGGGACAAAAGTAACCGTTGACTACTCTCTTCTCAGTGATTGGGTGTTTTAGTCATGTTCAACCCGCAATTCCATTTGCCTGGTTTCTTTGCCAAATAATTTCCTGTGCTATTGACATCACGGGGTGTTGAAGGAAGATGGTGCCTAAAGGGAGTTTGGCCCTCATGCTGAGCTCCTGTTTCATGAGACTAGAAAGTGTCTTGCCACAGGGACATGAAGGGTTCTCTGTGTCCCACAGACAGGCCAAGTCTTTTAGGCTGATTTCCCATGAACGGTCACGTTCCTGGGCTCACGAGGCCGTGTCGTAGTCCCAGGCTCGGGGGCCTTGAAGTTACAGTTTGTGCCACTTCAGAAGGGGACTGCTCTGGTGGTGTGTATGGGATGCTTCCTGTCAGGACCTTATTTATGGGTAAGATGAGGCCACTATGAAGGGGTTCCCAGTTTCAGGACTGAGTAGGGAAGGGGCGGTGAGTGCAAACCCAGGAATTCACCTGTCAGTCTCATTGGCTGCCTGGTAAGCCGAGAGAATGAGGGAGTGGTGACCGCACTGGGAGCTTGCAGGCAGAGTGAGACTGGGGGAACCAGGGAGGGTCCAGTGTAAGGCTGGATGTGGTTCTGGGGAGCGAAGAGTAGTTGATGCAATTGGGAGGAAGATGCAGGAATCGTAGAAGATTTAGTTTGTTGGGGAGTGTGAAAAGGCAGGAGCATCTGTGGGCTCTTGTTCCATGATCTGGAGAGAAGCTACCCGTGTCGTGGCATCACCTGCTGGTTCCACGGTTGTTGGGACAGTTGTCTGCCTCTGGCTGTCATCTGCTGCTGGAGGCTGTCGGTACAACTGTGGTTTGAGATCTCTGGTTGGATGCTTTCCAGTCTGAATCATCCTTATATGTTATTTTAGCCATGAGACATGGACAAAGGTTGAACACCTTGTAATTGGACCGCAATGAACAAAACAGCACAATGTCCTTCTTGTGTGGGTTCAAGGTTAGTTTCCTGATGGTGGCATTTCCAAAATACCAGATCTCATACCTGCAAATCGTGTAAAGGCTGATCAAGGAGTTTGAGAGGAAAGGTGGCCTTGATTGTAGGACTGTGTGTATTTAATTAACTTCCGACAGTGTCTGAGGATGTCAGACTGTGTTAAATTGAAATCCCTTGTTATCCAGGAGGCGTGGGGCATTCTCATGGTCTTCCTGTAATGGTTTCAAAGGGAGACCGTGTCTGAGGAGGATGGGATTAGGATCTGGGAGTCAAAAGAAGGATGGGTGACACCCCTGGTCATAGAAAGCCCGGTTCTTCGGACAGCTTAGCCAGCTTGAACTTTGGACACCATGGGCTCTTCCTGAGGGGCCTGATGGCTGAGGCTGTAAGGGCAGTGGAGTCTTCGACTAATGTGTTGTATTTTTAGTTGACTGTGCAATTTTGCTAGTAAAATGTGATCTTTCATTAGAAATAATAGAGGGGATACCCCAAGTGGGATGGATTACTTCCAGGAAAATGTTGGCAACTGACATCGTGGAGGCATTTTGGCAGCGGAAAAACCTCTAACTGTTTAGAAAACATGCAGATCAGTGTGGGGACATGTTGGGGACGTATTGGCTGCTGGGACTCTGGTAATTGGATAAAGTCTGCTTGTCAGTGAAGGAGGGGGCCAGGGAAAGCTGTTTCCCTTCCTCAGCTCATGTTTAGAATTTTCCCAGGGCTATGTTTCTGGCAGATGATGTGAGGGGCAGCTGCTTGGTCCAGATAAAAGCTAAAGGGTTCAAGCCATTGTTTGTCCAGCATGTGCTGCATTTGGACCTTTCTGGGCTGAGTCAGGTGTAAACCATGTACAGTGACTCTGGCGATAGACCTGGGTGGGGCATGTGGAGCTCCTGTGTTATTTCCTTGGGAGGCATCTTGAAGAAGTTGTTTCCTTCATGGGATGGGTCTGTTTAGGTTGCCATAACAAAACACGTGGGACTGGGTAGTTTATAAATAACGGACATTTTTGGCCCACAGTTCTGGAGGCTGAGATGGAGGCGCCAGCGGGTTTGGCGTCTGGCAGGGGATGCTCCCTGCTACACAGAGGTGCCCTCTTGTTGTGTCCCCCCGATAGAGGGGGCAGGCGAGCTCTCTGAGGCCTCTTGTATAAGGGCACTCACCCCAGTCGTGAACCTAAGCCCCTCATGACCGAATCTCCTTTCAAAGGCCTCCCCTCTGAACGCTTTTGCGTTGCGGATTTGGTTTCAACGTGAACTGGGGGATGAGGGGACACGGAATTCAGACCGTAGCGGAGGGCGAATAACCCCACCAGGGGTCCGGGGCCTTGAAGGGCGAGCCAGCGGTATGGGCTCGAGGCCAGGAGACCATGTGTGTTTCTCAAGCAGTGGGGGAAGAGGTCCCAGTTTGGCTTATTAGCCCATTTATTTCCCCAAGTCTCATCTGACTTCTTTATGCCGCAGTTTGCTGGGGTAATAACAGCGCTTCCAGAAGTTCTGCTGTGTGACTCAGGTACTGGCTGCTGCCCTCAGTCCCCCTTTTCCGTGGCACCAACATCACATACTGCCCCAAAGGCATGGCGGCTGGCGGCGTAGATATTTCGCCTTCATTCCTTCTGTCTTCGTGCAAGCCCGAGTGAGAGTGATTCATTCAGCCTCCTTGGCTGACTTAACACATGGCAGAGCTCGATAGCCAAGAGGTGTGTGCTGATCAGTGATGGGATATCCAGCCTGGAACAGCTCATCCTCCCTCCAGAGATAGGAGCCGTAAAGAGTGAGATCTGCTTAGGGCAGAGGGGTTTCTGATGAATTTTACCTATGATGAGATGATCATCTGATGTTAGTGACATGGGTGTCCCATCCATGGTTAATGGATGCAAGTGGCAGGGTTAAGGCTTTGATGGTATAGTATGGTTATGTGAGGGGGGAAAGCAGTAGATTTCATAAGAGGGAATTTTGGCCACAGAGAAATGCTGTATTCTCATTAAGCAGGAGGGTCTGTAAGGTCTGAATGGGATGAGGAATGCGTGTGTCCAATAGGTAACCCAGTTGCAAGTGAGAGGCAGCTGGGACAAGACTGGTGATTGCAGCCCTGGCTCACTGGCAGGGGATATGCCTCAACTCCTGAGCTTGGCAGAAGTGCTCAAAACCCACCTTTTCGTGTGTTGGGAATGAGACTCCAGGACATGATCCTCTCCTTCATTAACAAGGAAGGACAAAGGCAGGAAGGAATTGGGAAGTTCGAGGTGGGGTGAAACTAGAGAGCCCTTCAGGTTCTCAAAAATGTCTTTAGATGGGGGGTTCCTTACTGCTGGGTCCAGGGATGACTCCCTCATCATGGCCTAAAAAGAGGAGGCAATTGGAGAGAAATTGGGTGTCCACATCCTCCAGCATCCCACAAGACCCCACGCCCCCCCCAATTGTCCTTTTGCTTCCAGGAAACGAAAATGTTGAGGATTAGAAACTTGGTCTTTTTTGTTTGTTTGTTTGTTTGTGACCAAGATATCATAGCCCAGATACCAGACACACAGAGAGGATAATTGAACTTGGTGTCTAGCCACTCCATGGCCCGTTTTGCTAATGCCCTAAGGAGGCATTCAGCGCACAGAAGGGAGCTGTTGTAACTTTCAGAACGTAGGAGGAGATCATCCACAAATTGGATTACAGTTGAGTTTCCTGGGAATTTTACTTCCTTCAGATTTGCACTTACAGTGTGTGAGAATTAGGTAGGGGCCTCAGTAGATCCTTGGGGCACAATGGTCCGGGAATATGGTTTAACTTCCCAGGTGAAGGTGATAAGCACGAGGAATTTTCATGACAGCGAATTCTAAAAAAGACAGGGCACTCATCGATGACCGTGAAATACTGGGTGTCAGAAGTGATCACAGCCAGGATAGTGTTAGTGTCGGGCACCAAGAAAAACCTCGGTTTGACAATTTTTTGATCAGTCTCAGATCTTCGATCAGTGGATATGTTTCCATTTGGCTTTTTAGAGGCTGGATTGGGAGTGTGTCACGGACTAGAAATATCTGGCAGTACCTTTCAAGCCCCTCTGGTTTTAAATGATGTTTGGGAATCTTGGGGAGTGGCGTGGATCTATTTCTATCTTTCAGGGTTCTGCATCCAAATACATCTTACATTTGTGGAGTCTGTGATCCACAAAGAAGGAGGTGGCCAGCCTAACAGCTGACGGTGCCCTTGGCTAAATGAGTGCCAGGTGGAGGGAAGCAGAGAACTTAGGCAAGTCAGACACAGTGGCAGGGAACATACACGAGAGGAAAGCAGTCCCTGGGGACACAGTGGATTCTAACACCTTGATTCAGGAGAGGATCCCTTCCTCTGTCCTTTTGAGAAGGCAGGGGTCTAATTGAGCAGATTAACCCAAGCCACCTACGGACGGCTAAACGAAAAGAGCACCCTGCCACACACACCCACTAGGGCTTCAGGAGCTATAAACATTTACGCCTACACACTGCTGTGGGGTCGGGCCCCACAACCTGCCCGTCTGATGCCCCACTAGAGGTTGAGCAGCCAGGCACCGAAGAAGCGAGCCACATGGCCCTCGCACGCCCTGTGATGGGGACAAGGGAACTTTTCCTGTTTGACAACCGCTGTTAACCTTAAGGCACCTTCACTCCTCAGGCTCTTTCTGTAGCCCGCTGTTGTGGGTTTTGTCTACAACATTAATTATATTTGACCCTTTTCCCCCTGTAGATATAAATTCTGCATAAATAATTTTTAATGGCTGTATAGTTTATGGTATGACTGTGGCATCATTTAAGCAGTCATCTATACTTAGACATTTTATATTTTTGGCTTCATACATAATTCCATGAGAAATATCATCACCTGTAAGTCTTTGTCCACTTTTCTGTGGGGTGAATTTCGTGGCATGGGATGACTGGGTCAGTGATTATCGATCCCTTATATTACATTGATCTATTTTGCCAAAGTGTCCTTCAAGAAGACTGTGTGGATTTCCAACTGCATCAGCAGTGGGTTGGTTGCCTCTTTCTCAATACTCAGAATAAAACTGTACATTAAATTTCTTAAAAATTGAGACAAAAATATAACAAGACCTTGTTTAAACATTTGTTACTTTTATTCCTTTTAGTAATCTACATTTAGAAAAACTTTCAGCCTAAACCAAGTAAGAAAACCAGTAGTTGAAAACATTGTAGCAAACCTTTATTGTAATTGTAATAGCACACTGATAAGCGATGCTGTAACTTGCAGAGAACATTTCTGTTTATGACTTCTTGTGGGTGGCATCTTAACTGCGGAAGAAGTTGGACTCTGGGTGGATTGGAAGGCTCTTTTGCCACAAAACCTTAGCAGAGAAAATGGATTCTCTGTATTGTGACAAACATATTAAATTAATATTTATATTTACCTTAAAGTGAGATATTTCTCAAATTCTAAGTTATTTGAATTTAAGGAAAAAGAGCAAAATGGCAGTAACAGTAAATTATAATGTAAAAAATTAACCAGAATCGCAAAGTTGAGCTTCTGTATTGTTACAAGATATCAATGATAACATTTATTATTTTTAGATTTAAACAATACACCTTGTATTTTACGTTATTTTAATGTGAATTACAAGAGTTTGAAACTACTGCCAGTGTCTGATTATGGCTTAGTCTCATGAACACTTCTAACTTGGTATTGGGTTTCGAAAATCTTCTAAGTACTTCCTTTCCTTTAACACACAGGAATAATAAACGGCCCCCCTCCCAAGGTTACATCAAAGCTGCGCTAAAACTCAGGAGTGAAATAAGTGGTTTCTGTTAATTTTTCAAAGGAATGCATATGATTTTCTTTGAGAGATGATCTTGGCTCCAGGGAAAGGGAAAACAGCTACATTCTTTAAGGCGAAATTATCTGCCCGTTTTCCAAATGGACACAATTTTCTTTCATTTTACCTGTCACAGTCGTGGGGGATGTGTTTTTAAACAGTGGAGTCATGTCCTGTTCATCTGGGCATTTTAGACTTTATGAAACGCCCAGATTTTATCAAGCTGCACAGAATGTCACAACTGTGGAGCTGGAGCCTCACAGCCTCACAGCCTGCCCGTCTATATGCCCTCCTGGAGGTTTGAGCAGCGGGGCACTGAAGAATCGAGCCACACCCCATCGCACGCACTCTGAGGGGGACAGGGGACTTTCCCTGTTTCACAGCCACCATTAACCTTAAGGCACCTTCACCATGCTCTTTCTGTAGCCCACTGTTGTGGGTTATGGTTTTTGTCTACGAAACCATGATATATGTGTGTGTGTGTGTATATATATATATATATATCTGTCTACATCACCAGGCTCTGTGACATTCTGTGTGGCTTGATAAGGTCCTCTATAGGGTATGGTATGCAGTATTGGAGGCTGCTTAGTGCATCCTCTGTGTGTGTATATATGTATTTATATATATTTATATATATGGAGGATTTATTATATATATATGTGTGTATATATATATATATATATATATATATATATATATATATATACTTTGAGTTTTCAGTGTTTTTCCCTTAAACTTAATGTATTAATGGATGCTTTTCTTTTTATTCTTACAGTGTTTTTACAAATGGAAGATTATTTATTCCACCTGCAAAAATTATTATACCCAAATTTAGTCTGTCTGACTGGGATATCGTGCTGGACACGATTGGAGAAAAAGTCTTCCCTCTAGGAGGTGTCCGGAAGTAAGGAGACTCTCACCTGCAGGATGGCGGGGGGTGGCCGCTTGTGTTTCTTCTCTTCTATGAGAGTTTTCTGCCTGGACCTGCAAGGTCTAAAATAATTCACCACAAACTCTTAATTTTAATTCTTCAAGTGGATGGTATTTTCTCAATCTTGGTACCATACTTACTTTTAACCTGTCTCATTAATTTATTGATTCAACAAACCATGGAACATCTGCCATGTGGTAGAGGTAGAGAATATAGCCTTGCAAAAAAGAGTCTTGCTCCCATGAAACCCCTGCTGCCCAATCTGGAGTTAATTTTAGTGTAAGGTGTCAGGAAGGGGTCCAGTTTCTGCTTTCTGCACATGGCTAGCCAGTTTTCCCACCATTTATTAAACAGGGAATCCTTTCCCCATTGCTTGTTTTTGTCAGGTTTGTCAAAGATCAGATGGTTGTAGATGTGTTGTGTTTCCTCAGAGGCCTCTGTTCTGTTCCATTGGTCTATATCTCTGTTTTGGTACCAGTACCATGCTGTTTTGATTACTGTAGCCTTGTAGTATAGTTTGAAGTCTGGTAGTGTGATGCCTCCAGCTTTGTTCTTTTTGCTTAAAATTGACTTGGCTATGTGGGCTCTCTTTTGGTTCCATATGAAGTTTAAGGTGTTTTTTTCCAGTTCTGTGAAGAAGGTCATTGGTAGCTTGATGGGAATAGCGTTGAATTTGTAAATTACTTTGGACAGTATGGCCATTTTCATGATGTTGATTCTTCCTAACCATGAACATGGAATGTTTCTCCATCTGTTTGTGTCCTCTCTTATTTCATTGAGCAGTGGCTTGTAGTTCTCCTTGAAGAGGTCCTTTACGTTCCTTGTTAGTTGAGGGACAGGGGGGTGGGGAGATGGGAAGAGATAGCATGGGGAGAAATGACAGATACAGGTGAGGGGAAGAAAGGCAGCAAACCACACTATCATGTGTGTACTTATGCAACAATCTTGCATGTTCTTCACATATACCCCAAAACCTAAACTGCAATTAAAAAAAAAAAAAAAAGAAACCCCTGCTGATTGGGCCAGCCATTCAAGTTGCTAGAATGCTGCAGTTGTTCATGTTCTGGCACATGGACTCCTGGCCCTCTGCCTGTTCCCTGTCCTGGATCCAGGAACCAGCTGGGGGTGGAGTTCTTGGGCGTAGAGTTTGGGGAGGGAGAAAGGGAAGCCACGGAGGAGTGTGCAGAGGAGCTGCAGTTGGTCTGGTGGAGCCAGGCCTGTGGGAGCTGGTGTTTGGATTGAGTCTTGGCAGAGATGGGGGCAACTGAATTCCATGGGACAGAAGGGCATGTGGGAAGGAGCTGGTGTGTGTAATGGCTTCTTGCATGGGATTGGGGGTCCGACGTGGAGCAAAATCTCTCCACCGTCCGTGTCTTTGTTATCTCCGGGACATTTCCAACTTCTCGATGCATACTTTGTCATCTGGAAAACTGGAAGTGATAATAATACCTATTTCCAAGGGTCCTAATATTTGTACAGTGCTTAGCGTAACACTCGATGCATAGTAAGCATGAAATGGGGTTTGTGATTATGACTGTGACAGTCGATGAGGCACAAGCAGACAGAGCATGTTGAGGAAGCAAGCCACTGTCATCACAGGAAATTCAGCACTACTGGGAGGGAAGCGGCAGGTCCCATGAGTACCTTACAGACCAGGCAAGGGGCTTGCTGTCTTGCAGCCCCTGGGTCCCACTGGCGTGAAGGAAAGCTCACAGCAGTCATCATGATGATGGATTGAGGGTGAGAGGTGAGAGATGGGTGCTGAGCCAGGTGGCCGTGAAGATCATCTGAGTTGGCCTTGAGCTTTAACCACATTCAGGCTGAAAGTGAAGGGATGGCAAAAATATCCCATGCAAGTGGAAACCAGAAGAGAACAGGGCAGCTGTACTTAAATCAGACAAAATGGACCTCATGTGAAAAGCTGGAGTAAGAGAAAAAGAAGGTCACTGCATTATGTTAAAAGGGTCAGTCCTTCAAGAATATACAACAATTATAAATATATATGCAACCATCACTGGAGCACCTAAATACATAATATGCCAGTATTAATAACCAGAACTGAAGGGAGAGGTAGACAGCAATACAATAATAGGAGGCGACTTCAGTAGCCCACTTTCAACAACGAATACATCATCCAGACAGAAAGTCAATAAGGAAACCGTGGACTTGAATAACAATAGAAACTCAATGGGCTTAACAGACTTCCGAACATTCTGCCCACCAGCAGCAGAGTACACATTCTTCTCATGTACACAGCTTTCTCCGTTAGGCCACAAACCAAGTCTTAGCAAATGTGAGACTGAAATCATGTCAAGTATTTTTTCTGACCATAATGATACAAAACTAGAAATCAGTAATAGGAGGATAACTGGAAAATTCACAAATATGTGGAAATTTCACAGTGCGCTCCTGAACAACCATTGGGTCAAGGAAGAAATCAAAAGGGAAATAAAGTATCTTGAGACCAACAAAAATGGAAATACATCCTAGAACTTATGGGAGTCAGCAAGAACAGTTCTAAGAGTGAATTTTATAAAGAAAAATGCCCATAATGGCCAGGCGTGGTGGCTCATGTCTATAATCCCAGCACTTTGGGAGACTGAGGTAGGTGGATCACCTGAGGTCAGGAGTTCAAGACCAGCCTGGCCAACATGGTGAAACCTGTCTCTACTAAAAATACAAAAAATTAGCTGAGTGTGGTGGCGGTCGCCTGTAATCCCAGCTGTTCAGGAGGCTGAGGCAGGAGACTCGCTAGAACTGGGGAGGTGGAGGTTGCAGTGAGCCAAGATTGCACCATTGCACTCCAGCCAGCAAAACTCTGCCTCAAAAAAAAAAAATGCTTATATTAAGGAAAAAGAAAGATCTCAAACAACCTAACTGTATACCTCCTAACTTTACATTTTATTAACAGAATGAAAGAAATCATACGATCATCTCAATAGATGCAGAAAAGGCACTGGACAAAATTCAACATCCTGTCACCATCAAAGCTCTCAGACATTAGTATAGAAAGAATGTATCTCAACATAATAAAAGCCAATTTAGACAAGCCTGCAGCTAACATCACACTCAATGGTAAAAAGCTGAAAGCATTTCCTCTAAGGTTAGGAACAAGGTAAAGGTGCCTTACTGGCTGGAAGTCCTAGCAAGGGGAATCAGACAAGAAAAAGAAACAAAGGCGTTTGCATTGGAAAGCAAGAAGTCAAACAATCTGTTTGCAGATATGATTTTATGTATAGAAAACCCGAGACTGCACCAAAAACCTGTTAGAATAAAAGAATTCAGTAATGTTGCAGGACACTAAACCAACATACGGAAATCAGTTGTGTTCCCACATAATTCCAATGAGCTATCTGGAAAAGAAATTAGAACAATCCCATTTACCAAAGCACTAAAAAGAGTAAAATACTTAGGAATAAATTTAACCAAGCAAGTGAAAGCTCACTACACTGAAAACTATAAAACACTGATGAAAGAACTTGAAAAGGAAGACATCCATGTTCATGGATTGGAAGAGTTAGCATTCCTCCAGTATTACACCAGAGCAGCTGCACCAACAAGGGTCCTTTTCTGAGGTGGGGAGTCCTGCAGAGGAGCAGGCGTCGACAGCAAGTTGAAGAATCAACTAACGCATGCCTGTGGGACCCCCGAGGCCTGGGCTGCAGACGGAGCTGGAAGCTGGACGTTTAGACTGGGGATGTGTTAACTCGGTGGCTGGTGGAGCTGTATGTGTGGATGAGGCCCCTTGGAGAAGCCAGGTCGGGTGCATCAGCCGCTGGTCATCTTGTGAGAATGTGGGGCCGTTGTGGTCAGATTTTTCACAAGAAGGCAGAAAGGTCAAATCATTTAAAACAAGAACCCTTCTCTACTCAGTTGCTTTTATGCCCCTATTCTGCCCACAGGCAAGGCTTTGGGTATCCTATAAGGGGAGCTTTGTTTTCCTCAGCAGCTCTTCAGCCTCAGGTTCGTGCTCTTGTGGCCCTGATGCTGGACCGGGTTTCCACCTCCATGTGTCCTGCCCGTTGGTGCCTCGTCTGACCACTTGGCACTTGATCTTGCCTTTGCCAAGATGTGATTTTTTTGAATTCTTTTTGCCTTGTTTTCTGTGACATGGACTCCTGGCACTCTTCCTGTTCCCTGTCCTGGATCCGGGAACCAGCTGGGGGTGGAGTTCTTGGGAGCAGAGTTTGGGCTGGGAGAAAGGGAAGCCACGGAGGAGTGGGCAGAGGAGCTGCTGAGTCCGGAGTGGAGGCAGGGTGTGGGCGTGGGCGCCTGGGGTGGCAGAGCAGCCCGGGAGGGCACAGCCTGGAAGCCTCCAGCGAACACCATGGCCGAGGCCGGCGAGATGAGACCTAGAACGTCCTCTCTGACTGCACTTAGCAGGTGGCCACGGGCTCTTTGAGATGGAAGCCAGGTCCTGTGGGTGGGCTTGAGTGGGAGGTAAGAAAGCAGACATTGGAGTGTCGGGACCACGTAGCTGTGAGGGGGGAGAGTGGGGTGATGCAGGAGACATGGGGTTGCGGCTTGAGGGGTTCAGGGCAAAGACGTGCACTGAACAGGAGGGGCCTGAGCACACCTCCCTCCTGAGGGTGAAGTCCCAGTGGAGGGGAAGAGGGTGAAGGTGGAGGAGGGAGTGGGGCACAGGAGCCAGGCCCTGAGCAGGTGGCAGGTGGTGTGACTTGGAGGATGGGTGGATGTGTAAGCCGTCCAAGGGGGGGAGCCACTCTTCCTTCGAGGCAGGGGTGGAGGTGACAATGGGTGCAGGCACAGAAGGCTTTGAGGTAGGTGGGAAGGAAGGTGGCAAATTAATGCCTAATGGACTCTAAAATGGGAAAAGATCATGTCTTGCCAATGGACAGAGGAGGATGGGGGCAGTGGGAGGAACATGGAAGGGAGGATTGCCGAGCAGGGGTGAGGGCCCTGCTGGACCGCACACTGAAGATTTGCAGCGGAACCAACCCGTAGCTGTGTGT